TTTCAAAATGATGAATTAATTGAATTCCATGATTCCTTTAAGCATTTGTACAGATTTATTTCAATATAACGCTAAATATTGTTCTGGTATCGTTCAGCAGCTTTTTTAGATAACTTTTCTTGATAATCATGAGACATTTTCAAGGCGTTTAAGTAATGATGTACTGAAATCAGCGCGTTTGTTTGCCCCCATATCATAATGGTAGATATTTTTGTTTTTAGTTACGCAATGATCACGTGGTTTTTTCGCCGCAAGAATAATTCTTTGAATGTTTTAAATAATTTTTGATTTGGCATGCATTTACAATCTGTTAGGTATTTGCTTGAAAATGGATTTATTGAAAGTTTACAAACTCTTTATTCAGAATTGTCAGTAAAGATTAATCTCCTTCATAAGTCAGATTTTTATCAGTTGTTGACTGTTCATAAGTCAATAAAGAGTAGAGCACGACATTCCTTAGGAGTCAAGAACAACTAGGCGGTGAAGTAAGATTTACTTTATTTATCCTAACAAGTAAAATAAAAAATTACATTTAAAATTTGTAAACATATTATCCCTGCGTTCGTTCATTTGGGGATGTAAATTTATATAGACATAATATTATGAAATACATTTTTTGCCTTGATCTAATTGGTTCAACTTTTTACCAAACTGATTTATTGTAAATAAATGATTAAATCCAAGTTTATTTTCCATTGAGCTTATTGTAAAATTTTTTTTACTTTAAAAATTTTTAATTGCCCTTTTTACAGATCTGATCAGATCTGTTTAAGCTCTGATCAGTTACAGTGATCAGTTACAGTGATCAGTTACAGTGATCAGTTGCAGTGATCAGTTACAGTGATCAGTTACAGCTCTGTTACAGATCTGATCAGATCTGATTCAGCTGAATCAACTGACAATATTAAAATGCCTTTTTTTACAGTAATCATCCATTGTTTGTAAGCTTGTGCTCAATGTATCTAAATGAGTTTTTATCAATTGATAATTTGTTAGCAGTGTCTGTATCCACACATTTTATAGACTCAGGAAAATTAAAAAATGACCTTGTTAAGGAAGAAACATTTCATATGTGTAAAGAATTTTTATGGTCTGTGTTTCTTTGTGTTCTTGTTCTTTTAACTGTGTGTTCTACAAGAGTTAAGTGTTACTATAGAACAGTTTTTTCCTCAAATATAAAATTATGTTTAATCTTAATATTGAACCTTATTCTATGTTCATCATCAGATAATGTTAATTTGTTGTTTCGTTCGAAGGCTTCTACTTTGAAAGATTTACAAATATAAAATTTGATTCAAAATGTTTTTGTTCCTGATGAAACTTCTTTTTTAAAAACAAATGGGCAATCTTAAAAAACTTTTATCATTAAAACAATTTTCATGGCTTAGATATTTACCTTCTGAAGATGGAGCATTTTGTTTGTGTTGCCTTTTGTTTAGATATAAATACCTTTCAAAAACTTCTAGATTTAAAAATTTGTATTCTCAGTCATTCAAATATAGGCCAGATGCTGTGAGCACTTTTAATAGACATTACCATGGGAAAAACGGGAATAATTATGAATATCACTCAGCTGAAATATTTATGAACATCATCACGCAGTACAAATTCTACATTATAATGCCTGGACCATATTTTCCGCAGTTTTAAATACTATGAATAGAAATATTTAAAATATAGATATTTTAATAAAGAATGTGAAAAGGAGATAGCTTTAAATTGTAAAAAGTTGTTTTGTGAGAAAATCATTTTCTTAGGTTAACTTAATAGAGCTTTCAGAGGTCATTGTGATGGTCATTGGCAAATATTCTTTAGTGGGTGGAGTAGGTAATTTTATTGAACTTTTAAACTACAGAATCAGAGGTGGGGATAAAATTCTTGAACTTTATCTTAACAGCTGTGCAAAGAATGCATCTTATATTTCTAATTCCTCACAGAATGAATTAATAAGTTGTTGGGGAAAGGACATCCAAAATATTTTGGTTTCTGAAATAAAAGAAAATCGAATTTTTTCAGTTATTGCTGATGAAGCTTCTGACTGCTCCAATCAGGAATAATTGTCTTTAATAATTAGATTAATAGATAATTCCTATGATGTTAGGGAAGAATTTATGTGTTTTTTACATTGTAAATTA